TCGATCTGCCCCCCGACAAGACCGGGTCGGGTTTCTCGGCGGGAGAGGCCAGGCCCACCTTCCAGTCTCAGGGGAGACCCCTGCTGGGGTGGGCCAGGTGACAGCAGGAGGCCCCTGTTGGACATTTGCCGGCCTTGAGTGTCTTTTTCTCGGCGCACACGTTGTTTACTTCAATATTTATGTGGCACTTACTGTATGCTGGGCACCGAGCCACAAGCAGCTCATTTTACCTTTCCTTCTAAGCAGCCTGGGTGGGTCCAGAGAGACTGACTGAGCCACCTGGTGGAAATCACACGGCACCGCAGAGTTCTTGAGCACTTGGGCAGTGAGGTTTTAGGAGGTGATAGTTGTGAGGTCAGGGGGCTCTTGAGGTGCCTGCCAGGTCCCGTGGGGACAGCCTCCCGGACAGGGCAAAGGGCCTGGGTCTTGTTCACACCGGGGCATCTGAATTTACTCTGGAAGGTGCCAGGCAGGGCGGTAGGTGGCATCTGGCGGCCAGTGTGGTGACCTGCTTGTGAGGGAGGGCGGGGCTGACGGGAGGTCCCTGACCTGCTCCCTGGTCCCCTCTGGCCTCTGCCTCGCCCCAGATCCCAGCTTTCCGTGCAAGGCCGCTTCTGGGGCCTGTTCTCCCCCAGGCCCCTAACCCTTCTCCCTTGTCTTTCATCACCTTTTCTTCTAATCATCCTCCCTCCGTTGAGCCTCCTCTGTGCGTCTTCCCTCGGTCCTATCCTGTACACAAAGCCTGGCTCTGTCCGCCACCTTCCCTCCTGTTCCCCTTATTCTTCGCTCCTCTGCTCTGTGACCCTGGAGCAGGGCGCCAGGCTGTGCTCATCGAGAGAGAGAGGAGGAGGCTCGGAGGAGGCTCGGTGGACAGCATGGCCTCCCAGGGGGCTCCTGCCTGCCGGCTACCCTTGCCCAGAGGGCTTGGGACCCATTCACAGTTCGACTGTGGTGTCACTCAAGGGGTTTCTGTCACTGGGCTCAGGACTGAGCTTGCTGGTGCAGCTGCAGCGTGGCTCAGGACCTGGCGTGGAGGTGACTAAAGGGACACATGCGTGGCAGGCCCTCTTCTGAGTGCTGCTGAGTGCCAAGGCTCTGCACATGCACCTGCATGCTAGCGCCTGCCTCAGTCAGGTCCTGCACAGGTCTAGCACCCAGCCCTGGACACCTTAGTTCCTGTGGTTGTACACATGGGATGGGAGAAATGAGTCAGGTGTCATGCATGTGACTAATTTCACAGAGGATAGGAGACGTGAAGAATGGAGGTTTTTCCCTGTATGACAGTGACCCCAGGGGTGGGCAGTCAGGAGACAGAGGTGTCATGCAGAGCAGTCATGTGCAAAGGTCCTGGGGTAGGGACCTGTGGTTCTTCTCTAGAGCTGAGAGGAGGCTCGGATTGTGAGCCAGGCAGTGTATGGAGGCTGGTGGTGCTGCTCCAGGGGCCCTTGGCAGAGTCTGATTGATCTGAAGTGTTGGGGAACCTAGAGGGGCTTTTCAGGGTGCAGCAGACTCCCGTTTTCCACCAGAGACTCTCAGATGGGGGTGGCATAGATGCAAGAGGCCAAGGCTGACCTGAGGGTGACATGTTTGGGACTTACGGCATAGCTGTTGGGAACCTATCCTTCCCTGTCTTCTGCTGCAGCTGCTCTGCCCTTCACCATCCTGACCCTGGTGAACACCCCGTACAAGCGAGGGTTTTATTGTGGGGATGAATCCATCCGCTACCCCTACCGCCCAGACACCATCACCCACGGACTCATGGCCGGCGTCACCATTACGGCCACTGTCATCCTTGTAAGGCAGGAAGGGATGGGGGGCAAGGGGTCTGCCCTGAGAGGAGACGGGAGGAGATGGGGCTGGGGCCTGTCCTGTCCTGTCCCCACCGCTGGCCCCTCACCTGCGCCCCTGACAGGTCTCCATGGGGGAAGCCTACCTCGTCTACACAGACCGCCTCTACTCCCACTCCGACTTCAACAACTACGTGGCTGCCGTCTACAAGGTGCTGGGGACCTTCCTTTTTGGGGCGGCAGTGAGCCAGTCGCTGACTGACCTGGCCAAGTACATGATCGGCCGCCTGCGTCCCAGCTTCCTGGCCATCTGCGACCCCGACTGGAGCCGAGTCAACTGCTCCATCTACGTGCAGCTGGATGTGTGCAGGGGCAGCCTCGCCAACGTCACAGAGGCCAGGTGGGCGCGGGGTGGCGGCCCCAGTGCTCTGGGGGAGGCCGGAGCCAGAGCGTGGAGAGCGAGTGCGGCGGGGGCGCCCCCTGCTGTCACCGGCTGACCCCTACGCACTGCTGTCCCCAGGCTGTCCTTCTACTCCGGTCACTCCTCCTTCGGGATGTACTGCATGATGTTCTTGGCGGTGAGTGTCTGTTGTGATGCTTGTTGGGAACCTGGACGGGTCACGCCTCTTCACTGAGGTCACGGCCTCAGTCTCCCCAGCTGTGCCCTGGGGAGTGGGGTAGGGCCGGGTGGGTTCGCTGGTTTGCGCAGATGGATAGGTGGACGGATGGAGGCCCTTCCAGGCTGACACGCCGCCCACCCCAGCTCTACGTGCAGGCCCGGCTCTGCTGTAAGTGGGCGCGGCTGCTGCGGCCCACGGTCCAGTTCTTCTTGGTGTCCTTCGCCTTCTACGTGGGCTACACCCGCGTGTCTGACTACAAACACCACTGGAGTGACGTGTTAGTCGGGCTCCTGCAGGGGGCGCTAGTGGCCTGCCTCACTGTGAGTCCAGGGACCCCCCCTGCCCTGTCCGGAGAGCCCCATCCCAGACTCCAGGGTCCTCGGTCCTGCCTACTGTCTCCTCCTCTCCTGTCCCTGTCCTGCTGGCTGCTGTCCAGCCTGCCCAGCTGACTGCCCTCTTTTTCCTCCGTCAGGTCTGGTACATCTCAGACTTCTTCAAAGCCCGGCCCCCCCAGCCCTGCCTGGAGGAGGAGGAGGAGGTGGCACGCAAGCCTAGCGTGTCGCTGACGCTGACCCTTGGTGAGGCCGAGTGCAACCACTACGGGATCCCGGTGTCCTCCTCCTGAGCTGGGGCCACAGGCCAGCTTGCTCATGGTCCCTCTGCCCTCATGGTGGGCAGTGCAGGCTGTGGATGGGTCCAGGTCCCTGCAGACTGCAGTGGTGAGCAGAGCCCCCTGACCCGCTCATTCTGGGCCGGGGTCTGTGCCTGGCCAGCCCTCGTGCTGCTGCGGGGTTGGGGGCCCCGGGAATGGACTGGCACAGCTTCTGCAGGGCACGATGTGCCTGTGGGTTTCTACGTAGTCTCAGAGCACCAGGGTTAGCCCGGGACTGGCACACAAGGGCCTGCAGGTGGTGGCTCAGGACTTGTGGAGCGTGGAGCGGAGCTAAGTCGTGTCCAGCTCACCGCAGCTGCACCAAGGTCCACGGTGACCCCTGTGGCCCTGACCCTCCACTGCCGAGCAGACGTGAGCACTTAGCCACACTTCTGAAGCTGGTGCCGGGGGTTGGTGACCCCTAACTGTGCCAGAACTTTAAGGCTTATGTTTTCGGTGGGTAGGTGAGCCATAAACTTATTTTTTACCAAATTCCTCTTTGATGTGGGTGATTCATTTTGAAGTTGTCTGCTGTTTTTTTTTCCTGCACCTGAAACCTCTCACCCTGCTTCTCTCTTCTCTCTCTCCTCTCTTGTTGTTGCTGTTTTTTTCTTCTTCTTGTTTTTCTTTTTGTGAGACAAGGTCTTGCTATGTACAGTAAGTCCCCAACATAGAATGTGTTCTGTTCTGGAAGAATGGTCATTAGTCCGACTCATTCATCATCTGACAAAGGGAGTCTTATACAGCACCTCTGTCAAAGTTCACAGCTTGGATGTTTGTAAGTCAGGAACTTACTATAGTCCAGGCTGGCGTTGAACTCACTGTGTAACTTAGGCTGGCTTCAAATTCTCAGAGACTCTCCTGCCTCAGCCTCCGGAGTGCTGGGATGACAGGTGTGCACCATCGTGTGAGCCCGGCCCTGGCCATAAAATTCCCACTTGCACCCAGGCTGTATCTGACTTGACACAGTCTCCTCTCCACTGCGGTGGTCTCTGTACTGCACTTTCATGAATGCACTGGCTAATGTTTCTCTGACACTGCACTGCACGTTACAGCAGGGGAAGTGGGCAGACAAGGTGCTCCCTCCCCGAAGGCTGCAGAAGGAGTGCGACCCACTGATGCCTTGGCTTCCGCTTTCCAACCTCCAGAGCTGAGAATCAATTTCCGTTTGCAGCTCAGCAGTCTGCAGTCCTTCCTTACGGTAGCCCAGGAAATGAATATTCTGGTTTCTCCTCACTGATGATGTCTTTTGTTGAGCCTGGTGGGGTGGCGCATGCCTGTTAGGCCAGCACTTGGGAGGCCCAGGCAAAAGGATCGCTGCAAGTTCGAGATTAGCGTGCGCTACCCAGAGAGACCCTATCAGGGGAAAAAAAAAAAGTACTTTGTTTCTCTCTATCTCCCTTGCTGATCGCTAACATTAAGTTTGAAGATGAAGAATCGCGGGGAAATGTGGACTTCAGACGGAATGAGGCCGAGGGAAGGGCTCAGCGCTTTGCAGGCAGGTGTGGCTTAGATAAGTGCAGAGTGTGCAGCTAGGTGGGCAGTGGGCTCGGCCACAGAGCCCAGGCCTCGTGGCTGCCCACCTCATAATCCTGCCCAGGGACGTTTCTGTCTGCAGATCCGCGGCCATAGGCCAGGCAGCTCCTCTGGGGCATCTGCACCTCCTGCCCCACTTAGTCCTACATCTGCCAAGTGGGCAAAGGACACAGAAAGCGGGGAGGCCTCCACCGCCACCTCTCAGCCTGCAGGAATGGCCCCTCTGCCCTCCCTGGGCTGAGCTGGGTCTTGACAAGAGGGCATGTGGATTTTAGTGAGGCATTTGTCATCACTTTGATTTGTAATCCTTTTGAAAGAGGAAGAGCCGAGCGTGGGGGTGCACACCTGAAATCCCAGCACTCGGGAGGCTGAGGCAGGAGGATCCAGTAACTTTGAGGCCAGCCTGGGCTACACAGTGAGTTCAAGGCCAGTGAGAACTATATAGTGAGAAGACATTTTATTCTGTTTCTCTGTGAAATGAGGATCTAGGATTTCCTTGGAAGAAGAAGGAACATTCCTTTCCTGACCGGCACCCCCAAGTGGACACACACACACACTTTTTGTTACTTGCTTTCACACCCACGGCGCTCCCACACCAACAGATGCACATAGCCACAACACGCGTGTGCACGCCTATCCACGAGCACAGGTGCACACATCCCCATTCGGCTTTTCACCTCAGCCGCCACAGAGGTTGGAGGAAACCAGCAAAGGAGCCAGGAAGAGCCGAGGGTGGGGCCTGGTAGTGTAGGGGACAGAGAAACATCCTGCTTACAAGGAGACCTGGGAATCCAACCCTTCCAGAACCCAGCGCTGCCTCAAGTCCTAGATTTCTCTCTTTGGGCCCAGGAACTGATTTTATTTTATTTTATTTTTATTGTTTTGGAGGTGAGGTCTTGCTGTGTAGTTCAGGGTGGCCTTGAACTCACTGTGTAGCCCAGGCTGGCCTCAAACTCATAGTGATCCTCCTGCCTCAGCCGCCCGAGTGCTGGGATGACAGGTGAGTGCTACCATTCCCTGGTGTGGTTTGTGTTGGTATGGAGGAAAAAATTTGTTAGTACAAGAGGCCAAACATTGAGGGCATCTGTATGGGAGCCACGAGTGACATTCCGCGAGCAGGTACGGCACCTTCCCTCTGCAGAGCGCTCAGCCTGGGTGTGGAGGTGTGCAGAACATTTGTCCTGTGCCTGCTGGGGTGTGGTTTTATCGCAAGTGACTTTCCCTTCCTGCAAAGAGAAAGACTAAACTGACCCAAGTTCTCTGCTGCCAAGGCCATGAGGCCACTGCCTCGCCCTGCCCCAGACATGGGCCTCTCCCTGCCTGCGTCTCCAGTTCTGTTCCATTCTGGATGGAGAAACTGGAAACGCTTATGATTCATTGTTACCTTTGCTTTATGGCCCAAGGAAATAGCCAGCCGGTGTGGTGGTGCAAGCCTGTGATTCCAACACTCAGGAGCCCTAGGCAGGAGGATTATTACTTCGAGTTTGAGGCCACAGAGAGAGACCCTGTCTCAAAAAAATGAAAAAGAAAATGGCCAATTCAAGGTGCAAACTATGGGGCAGCCTGCACTGAGCTGTCTCACCCTTCCTCGGTGCCTGAGTCCTGTCCCGTGGCAGGGGCCCTGGTGCTGTGCTACCCTCAGGGCTCTGCTTATTTCCCTGGGCAGCTCCCAGGAACCTCCGGCCACGAGTACGAGGTATGAGGTTAGGGCTGCGGCGAACTGGACAACTGAGTGGAATATGTCAAAGGTCATAAAACGCCACGGCTAACAGGTTGGGCAAGATGTTTCCTAAAAAGAGAACTTGCGCAGGACCCACAGCCACTCCACAACAACTGCACCCCGAGGTCCAATCAGAAAAGGGCTGTTTTCAGTCCTTCATTTGCATCTGGCACTGTTTGCAGGACCAATCAGAGATGCTCTTTCCAACTCTTCATTTGCATCTGGCCGGCAGCCTTGGGAGGCTTTCCAAAGCTGGCGTGAGGCCAAGTGAGTTTTTGACAGGACAGGTGCCCCAAAGCCTTATTTGCAAGATAAGGAAGCCTGCCTGCCTGGTCTCACCCCATAGAGCCCACCTCTCCACCTTCAGTAAATGTACACCTTTGCTGCCTTTTTTGTATGTCTTGGCCCATTCTTTGGTTCACCAAGAACCTAGAGAGAAACCCCATGGGCTTCTCCTTCTGGTAACAAGTGGATCTTGCTTCCCCCTTTTTAATTTTGTGGCACAGGGTCGCATTTTTGTAGTTCAAGCTGGCCTTGAACTCGTGGTGATCCTCCTGCCTCAGCCTCCAGTGTACTGGAGGACAGGCCTGTGCCACCACGCCCAGCTTGTCAAGCCTGTCTGTGAAAGGGTTTGGAAAATGAGCTTTCAGAAGCTGAGAGTCCCACAGTTCTCAGAGGGACCCTGTGTACCTAATGATTGTTCATGAGTAGGGAAGCCCAGTTCGGGTGTTTCATATGTGCTGTCTCTGCCTAGTTTTCCGCCATGAGGGTGAGGGCTAGGGATAGGTTAGTGTCTTAGTTACTTTTCTCCTTGCTGAGACAGAATACCCAAGGCCCACGAATAAAAGGAGAAAGGTTTATATTACCTCAGTTTGTAGAAGTTTCAGTCCATAGTCGGCTGGCTCCAAGGCAGGGTGGTGCGGCAGAGAAGAAATGGTTTGTGACATGGCAGGCAGCAAGAAGCAACCCTTCTCCGGCTCTTACCATTCAGGCTATTGGATGGCGCCGCCCACACTCAGGGTGGCCTTGTCAGTATCCACACCCGGAACTGTGCTAAACCAACCCATGGGCTAATTTAGTGATCACACAGCCTTAATCCATATTCACACACTCTAGATCTGTATACCTCCATAAAGCCCCACCTACTAGCGCAAGAATTTTTGGGGGACATCTAGATACAAACTAAAATGGGCCGGGGATTTAGCTCAGTGGTTCTGCCACCTGTCTTGAAACCGCAAGGTCCTGAGTTCGATCCCCGGTACAAAAAAACCCCAAAACCCCATAACAGTTACTGTCAGGGGTCAGGCTAGGGTTATTGGCTAAGGCTGGGGTTAGGGTTATTCTTTAGGATCATGGTTAGATCAGAATTAGGGCCAGGTTGAGGCTGGGGATTTAGCTCACTGGGGCCGAGCCTGCTTTGCAAGCACAAGGTCCTGTGTTCGATCCCCAGTGTGGAGAAACAAAACAAAAGAATCAGGGTCAGGGTTGAGCTTAGGGTTACAGGTTTAATGGTTTGAATGATGTGGTTAGGGTTATGGATAGAGTGGATAGTCTATGGTTAGGGTAAGTGTCAGGATCAGTGTTAGTTTTAGTTTTAGGGTCAGGGTCAGAGTTTGGGAGACTGAGGTAGGAGGAGGACAAATTCGAGCCCCGCATGGATAACATAGCCAGATCTTTTTAAAATATAAAAGGGTTAGGGATGTACTAGGCACTGAGTTCAATCCCTCTCTCTGTAGTCGATAATGTCAAAAAATATTGGGGGAAAAAAAAGAATGCAGTGCATGGGGCACGGTGGCACATGACTGTAACCCCAGTTGAGACAGGAGAATTGCCAGCCTGGGCTACATAGAGGAAGCCCTTTTATCACCCCCCCAAAAAAAAGTAGGAGGCGAAATTTGGGAGAGAGGCTGCAGCCTTGGGTGGGCCTGTGACTGGCAGACTGGCAGCCCGCCGCACACTGTGATTGGTCTAGGACGGGAGAGGGCGGGGCTCTAGGCTGGGCGCCCGGGTGGGGAGGGGACGGTGTGGGCGGGGAGAGTGGTGGTGGGAGGGGAGTGGTGGGGGCCCTGGGGCCCCTTATTGGACCCAGCCCCCTGAGAAAGGAGGCAGCTTCAGGAGAGCGACCCCTGTGGGAAGCCTTTGGTGAAACAGAGAGGGCGTGTGAGCTGCCAGACTCACTGCTGGCTATATCTCCATTCCAAAACCAGACAAGAAATCAACTAAAAAAGAAAAATGC